ACTCGTCCCTTCACTTCAGACCAGCACTATGGGTTAGTTCAATGCCTGTAGACTCAGGAGTCCACACAACTCCCTGCACTTCAGATCATCCAGCCCTTCCTCTCATCCCTAGCCTCTGTGGGCTAGGTTAACAGGTGCTAAACTCAGCCCGTTTCTTTGTTACTGCATCTCCCCTATTTCCACTCATCAAGTGGACCCAGGTGGTCACAAGTGAGCAGCATACAAGGCTATCTACTTGCTGGCTTCCTTTACCTTCCAGTCCTGGAAGGGGTTTTTCTCTTAGGCCTTGATTTTCCTGTCTCCAGGTACCCAAAGACAAACGGATTGCTCAAAATTCGAAAGGTCAGTCCTTTTTGTCTCTGCGGGTCCTTCTTTCAAATGCAAATCTCTGTTCTCACAGCAGTTTTGGGTTGTTCTCTGTGTTTTTTCAAATGCAAATTTTCTGACTGTGTAGGTTCTGGGTGGGGCTCAGGTTTTTCGCTAAAACTCTAATGCTTTTTACATTGGGCTACTACATTCAGACCAACAACCTGTGTTTCTTCTGGGCAAATTCCAGTTCCTCTTTTAGCTATCTAATCAAGTATTGGCTGAAGGTAGACTTCCATGTTCTGTTATCCATACTCAATATTCACTTCTAACATACAACTGGGTAAGAGAACATTCAATATTCATTCAGATAAACACATAATCCAAAACACATAACCCTTTTTACAGCATTCCAGTTTCATCTTCTCTTCACCACAACCTGACTGTCTTCCCATTCTTATGCATATAGCTCTGGGCCTCTGGCTGGGTGTAACCAAAAGCCCTGGCCTCCTATCAATTATCTTCTTTAATTGGTCTGGCTCTTGCCCCAGGCTTTTCTCTCCTCAGTTGCAGCACAGTATCTCTTATATTCCTTTCAGCCATTACAGATAAGAACTAAAGTAACCATCTCAGAATTAAAAGTTTCACTTCCTAGGCCTCTTCATTCTCTTTCAAAGTCCCATGCTTCCATGAGTCTGGAGCCATTGCAACGAATCTGAAGCCAGCTGAATTACAGTTCACTTCCCGCTCCCCCTTCTCTATAATCATCCCTAGTTGGAGATGGATGAATAGGTATAATAATGTGTTTTCTTATAGTTGTTTTTCAGAAACAACCAATACCAACTTGAAACCAGTTAAAACCAGCTCAGATCTGTTTTGGCCTGCGGAGATGCGAGATGCGCAATGAGACAAACGGAAGGAAGTTGCTCAGAACTAACATCTCCCCCTCTGCCTAAGCCTTGATCAGCTGATAACAAGAAGTTGGGGTGACTCCAATCATGGGAGAATAGTAGGGCTGTGTATGCAGAGGGACATAGCTCAGGGGACAGGAGTGCATGGAGGGAAGGACACAGGGAAGAGGTAACTATGGGGAGGAAGTGGGAGGGAGTTGCATTGTGGGAAATTGTAGTCCATGTCATGAGACAAAGTGTATGTGAGTTGCTGTATGTAAAGTGAATGTGCTCTGTAAATTTTCACCCAAATCATAATTTAAAAAAATTTTTAAAAAGAAGAAGTTGGTGTAAGTCATCTGGTATGCAAGCACACTACATTAAAAACTGACTGTCCCTTTAAACCGAGGTGAATGAAACCTCAGCCAGTCTCCAGCTAATTCACGCCCAAATTCCTGAAATTTATATGAATATGTATAGATCTCTTTCCTAAACTTCACAAAAACTGTACTCCAACTCCCACTCGGGGAATCAGATTTGGCTACTGGCCTCTGACTCCTTACCATGTGCATGGTAATAAATCTTTCTCATCTCTCAGGTATGCAGGATATGTGAACTGACTTGGTTTAATCGTGTACTGGGCAAGGACTCACTTTAGTCCAACTTCAAATCCAGCTTCTGACATCAACTGCAAAAAAGGCACAGGAGCAGCATCCTCTGACCTCCAACTTCCCAAGGGGTAGATAGAATCACCAACAGCAGCCCAAGGCTTTTTCCCATGAGGCCAGACATGCCACTACCCTCCAAAATTTTCCTCCAAACTTTTTACCAATTTTGACACCAACTGTCCCTCCCATGGAACTCTCTACTGGGTTTGATAATCTGTTGCAATATCCCCAGGAGCTCTGGTGGTGTAGTGCCTAAGGCATCTGATAGCTAACCAGAAGCTGGTGGTTCAAACCCACTAGCCACTCCTCGGAAGACTGGGTGATCTACTTCCTTAGAGATACCGCCTTGGAAACCCAGAATTCACAGACAATACTCACAATTGTGGGGTTAATTAGAGAAACAACAGACTACAGTTCAGGTTCAGGAATACTCGGGATAAAATTCCTCAATCAGGACGGCCTCTCCTCGGCCATGTCCTCAGGCATGGCTCTCCAGGCATGCATCTCTCTGGCTTTCAAGCTCTCAACCTGGCCCCTGCCCTGCTCAGGCAAGTGTTATAAAGCTCTTTTAGCTCTGCCAGTGGGTGTACCTAGGTGCACCCTACTCTGCCGGTAAGCCTCTTGCCCAAAGGCACTCAGCTTTCTGGCTCTGTGGTCCAACAAGACCACCATTTGTTTCATGCCCCTTGGTTCTCCTGCCACCTTTTCTCAGCTGGTTGTATCAGCTGTCTCTCTACCAAGGAGGCCCAGTTCAGGGATCTTAGGTCCAAGGACACACTTCATCCCACCACCTCCAGTTCTTCTCTCTTGATAGCAGTGAGATCCCCCCTTCTGTCTCCAGGAGGGCTCATTTTAAGCCTAAAAAAAAAAAAAAAAAAATATGAAACTCACTGCTGTGGAGTTGGATCATACTCAGGGACCCCTCCTTGGGTTTCTGAGGCAGTATCACTACAGAAGTAGATTTCCCCATCTTCCTTCCAAGGAGTGGCTGGTGGGTTTGAACTGCCAGACTTCTGGTTAGCAGTCAGATGCCTTAGGCACTATAAAACTAACCAATCTCTACATTAAGGTTCCATATACCTTATTTCCATGGTCCTACACCTGCAAGTGTGCCATGTTCCTTATTTACATTACTAACAAGCTATTCAGTCCTCTTGGTGGACCAAAATTCCCTTACATTTGCACAGTTCCAATCACTCAACTGGTGGGCATCACAAAAACCATGCCTAGAAGAGCCATATCAAATAATTCACTACATGACAGTCATAAATGCAAAATGTTGGATAATGTGATAGTCTAAGAAGTGAGGAATAAGTGTAGATTCAAATAGTTATATGGTCATGCCTCCCTTACCTGACTTTCTTGAATCCCACTTTTTATTATGATATTAACCCTTCTAGCTATGGGAAAACCACAGATTTAAAAAAAACAACCCAAGTCTATGAAGGTTTGTATACCAAAGTTTAAAATAGGTATCTGCAATGATTCTCAACCATTACTTTCTGTGAGTATCACCTGAAAACCAAAACTCACAGCCATTGAGTTGATTCTGACTCATAGTCACTCCCATTGGGTTTCCGAGGCTGAGGCTGTGATCTTTTTTACCTTAAACAATTTTTATTGTGATTTGGGTGAAAGTTTACCAGAAACTGTAAATCTTTACGGAAACAGATAGCCCCAACTTCTTTGAACTGTTCACCTTCTGGTTAGCAGTCAAATGACTTATCCTCTATGCCACCAGAGCTCCGGAGTGTCACCTGGAGGCTGTACAAATACTAATGGCTAGGGCCAGTCCAGAGAGAGTGAAACATTAGGGAGTGGGCCGGGCCTTAAGGGAAAAAAAAAAAAAAAAAAAAAAAACAGTTGCTGTGGAGTTGATTCTGACTCATGGCAACCCCATGTGGTGCACAGTAGAGTTGTTTCATAGGGTTTTCTTGGCTGTGACCTTTCAGATGCAGATTGCCAGGCCTTTCTTCCAAGCCACCTCTAGGTGGGTTTGAACCACTAACGTACTGGTTAGTAGTCAAGCACTTAACTTTTGCATCACCCAGGGACTCCTGGGTTTTGGCCTGAGAGAATTTTTTAAGAGCTCCCGGTGATTGATTGTACTATGCATTCAAACTGAAACACTAATCTAAAGAAACCGTGGGCATGATCCTCACAGTGTGATCCAACTTACCTTGCCTCTTGAACTGTGAACCTGAATCTTCTCTTTAAATCAAACTAGCAAAATTGGGTTGGTTCACTGGAAACAACTTGGAGAGTATTCAAATCGGTTGGAATTTGGACCAAAATTAAAGTGGAGTTAACTTAGTAATAACTGATTACTTATTGAAAGTCAACTTAGAAAGCACAGCAAGCTTAGGAGATCTGGTTTAGAATTGGCTCATTCACTTACTAGCTGGGTAATTGGGGCCTTACTTTGAAAGGAGCTTCAACAGCAGCAAAATATAAAAATACTCAAATTGCCACTCACATTTAGTTTATAGTATATATTCCTGATCTTCAGTGTCACACACTTAAGGGAGCTATTATTGTTGTTAACTGCTGTCAAGTTGGGGCCCAACTTATGGCAACCTCGTGTATTACAGAATAGAATGCTCCATGGGGTTTCCTTGTCTGTAATCTTTACAGAAGCAGATCATTAGATCTTTTCTTCAGCAGAGCAGCTGTTTGGGTTCAAACCACCAACCTTTCAGTTCACAGCTGATCACAAACCACTTACACCACCCAGGTTCCTCATTTAAGGGAAAATCAGGCTTAATTTGTCATTTGCACGGTCTGTGTTTCCTCAATCTCTTGCTGTCTCAAGATTTTAATATCTATTTGGAATGGGTCTGGAAGCCCAGAAAGGCAGCTTGGTACATCAACAAAATCAAGTCAGAAAACTGAGCTCTTACCCTAGCCTTCCTAATCACTATGCCTCAGTTTGTTCATCTGTAAAACAAAATGAGCTGTATCACCCACTTAGTAAGCAAAGTTGCTGGAAAAATTTTTTTAAAAAAATTCAAAAATCAAAATTTGAAGCTATAAAAAACTCTGCAATATTAGCAACTTTTTATTTTTTAACAATTTCTTGCTCTAAGCTATTTATTTTTGGTATTGAAAACACAGTATTTCTTCATAAAAATGATAGTTAAAAGATATACATACCAGGAATCCTATTGAGTGTTACCCAGAAATGTTCGTCAGGACTATAGGTGTCCTTAGACCAGGAGAGTAAGTCAAGAGCATGTTGATCTTGAAGGACAAAATTAACAAATTCCCTTGTGAGGGCCACATAGGCAGTGCCAAAGTAGACGGTCATATTGTGGGGAGGAGGAGTTTTTAATTTTTTTGTTTTAGTCATGTAGGAGTTTTTAAGGCCTAATAATTCTTGGTGGACATACTTAGTCCGTCCAATGACATGATCAGGAGGCAGCACTCCTGGGGTAATATTTTTTCCTTTAAGCCCTTTCAGATAGTGAACAATCTCTTTGTTGGTTTTCAGAGGGAAATCTTGCCCACAGGTATTGATCACATATTTCCAGGGAACCTCCGATGCCACCAGGTCTCTCATACAGTTCAGGTCAGCATGGAGCCTGGAAATTCCGCCATAGACAACTGGCACCATCTTGGACGCCAGGAAAGCATTTGGGAAGCAGCTCAGTAATTGCTTCACGGCATCTTTAAATTCAGCTGTGGCCTTCTCATCCACGTGAACACAGTAGACATTTTGGGGCATGTAAATTGCTCTGAAGAGCCTTTCAAATGTATCAAAGTCTTTGTGGATGGTCACTGCATAAGCCAAGGGGAATGCAGCTTCTTCTGTAGAGAGTGTCTCTGTTATGTAATGACTGAGAACCAAAAACTCATCACAGGCAGATGCACTGCGAGTCGTTCTCAAGGTATTTTCTGCTTCATAAAAAACTTTTCCCTCAAAAATCTCATGACAGACTTGTGCTAATAGAGAAATGTTTGTCAGAGCTGCCTTCCGAACACTTTTATTCTTCTGTAACTTGCTATGGTAAACAAACACAAAAATCAAGGTAGTAATGAGAGACAAGCTGAAAAGCCAGCACTTCTGAGACCGCATCATTCACACCAGGAAATGAGTAAAATGTCTCTTCAGTAGGATCACAGTGTAGATAAATTCAACTTACATTTTCTCTAGAATCCATAATAGTCCTTTTGGTATCATCTGTTTTTGACCTCCTTCCAGCTCCATCTTCTTGTTCTTCTTTCTTTCTTCCTTCCCTCTTTATTTACCTCTGTGTTGCATTTCCACCTTTCTTTGACACATTTCTGAAGCAGCTCATTTGGTTTGTTTTGCTCAATCTTGCGCTAATCTGTAAACTAATACTACACAAGAACAAATTGCCTCAGACAGTTACTGATTTCAAGGCGTCCACACAGTCTCACAGTGAAATCACTTGTGGTCGAGGTGACCGTTCTGCAAGTCATTGCTCTGAGACTTTAACCCCAGCCTTTTCTCCCCACCAAATGTTGGTAACCACGTGAGCTCCTCAACTTCCTGTTAATCATTTTGTTCAACTGACTGAGTTTGTTTGCTTAAGCAGTACTGCCAAGTTAGACATTTCAGTTAGAAACATGTGAACATTGCCTGGAGAGATGTTGGGTCAATAAATATCTATTGCTTAAAAATACATTACTTAACTCTGTCTTTTTCCATATAGACCCTGCTCTCCACACTGGCTGGTTAGGCTATAATAGAGCATAATTCTTTCCAGGGCTTTATTTTCTCTCCTGCTAGGTAATGTCTTTAAAAAGGCACATTAACAAGCTTACTTCACCACCTAAATTAATAATCAAGTGACTGGGAGACTATGATGAATATAGGCTAACTTCTTATTTAAAAAAAAAGAAAAAGAGAGAGAGAGAAAGAACAAAGAACTCCTATGGACATCAGAACATAGTGCCATCAAGTTGATTCCAATTCATAGTGACCCTATAGGACAGACTAGAACTGCCCCACAGGGTTCTCAAGGCTGCAAATCTGTTCGGAAGCAGACTGCTCCATCTTTCTTCCATGGAGCAGCTGGTCGGTTCAAACTGCTGACCCTTTGGTTAGCAGTCAAATGCTTTAATCCCTGTGCTACTGGAGCTCCTTTATCTCCCACAGATTTCATAAATGCTAAAGCTAAAATTGTTATTAGCAGTCCTGGAGTTGGCCCTCAACGTACAGTTGTGATCCATAAGATTTTCACTGACTAATTTTCAGAAGTTGATTGCAGGCCTTTCTTCCTAATCCAATGCAGCCTGAACAAACACCCCCTGAAACCTGTTCAGCATCACAGCAACATTCAGCTTTCATTGACAGATGGTGGTGGCTGCTCATGAGGTGTATTGGCCAGGAATCAAACCCAGGTCTCCTTCATGGAAAACTAGAATCCTACCACTGAAACTATCAATGCCACTCGAAACTAAAATTAGTGATTATCAAATTTCTCTGGTGGCATGGTGCCTAAGCCACTTGATTGCTAACCAGAAGGCTGGTGTTTCAAACCCACCAGCCACTCCTCAGAAGGAAGGTTGGGCAATCTACTTACGTAGTGATACCACCTCAGAAACCCAAGGAGGGGTCTGTTAGGAATTGGATCCGACTTGACCGCAGTGAGTTTGGTTTTGGTTTTGGTTTCTACAAAAGAGGGTGGAGGTGGAACATTCTGATTCTGATGCCTGCAGAGGTAGGCTAAAGGTGTTGTCTCAGCTTTGGATGTGCCCACATAAAGAAACAGGCCCTTAGATTCAGAATTATAAAGCTTATAAGGAGTTACATTTCTTATCTGTAAAAACTGAGAACGATTATACCACCTTTGTGAGTGGTGAGATAAAATATGATAGCATATATAATCAACACAGATTCATCACCATGGCCAGTAACATATGGGGCCACATGACTAGGTTCTTAAAAGCTTACGAACATCAATCTAAGATGCAGCAATTGGTCTCTCCTTGTCTGGAGCAAAGGAAGATGAAGAAAATCAAAGATGCATGGAAACAAAGTCCAAGGGGACTAATGTGAACCTCTCAGCCTACATGATTCTGAGATAAGAAGAACTGGATGGTATCTGACTACCACTGTCAACCACTCGAAAAGCGATCAAAATAGGAGATCTTGGATAGAGTGGGAGGAAAAATGTGGAATAAAACTCAAAATCATGGGAAAAAAAAAAAAGACCATGCTTACTGGTCACGTAAAGAGTATGGCCCCTAGTCACCCTTGGGCCTGGAATTGTACTCACTCCCATGACTTCCAACCAAACAATAGACAAGGCTACAAGGTGAATAATTACACCAGGTAGGCACACACTCCTTAGAATAATCAACCATGGGAGATCAGAAGGGCAACATTTGCACAGGAAGCTAGCTCAGAGAGCAGGAATGCATAGGAAAGAAACCAAAACCAAAAACCAAACGCACTGCCATAGAGTCAGATCCGACTTATAGTGACCCCTCCTTGGGTTTCTGAGGCAGTATTACTATGGAAGTAGATTGCCCCATCTTCCTTCCTAGGAGTGGCTGGTGGGTTTGAACCGCCAGCCTTCTGGCTAGCAGTCAAGTGCCTCAGACACTATGCTACCAGAACTCCTACAGGAAAGGACACAGGGAAAAGATAACCACAGGGAGGAAGTGAGAAGAGAGCTGTTATATTATGGGGATTGCAATCAATGCCATGAAACAAAATGTGTATTAACTGTTGAGTGGAAAATGAATTTTCTCTGTAAACTTTCACCCAAATCACAATGTTGTTGTTGTTGTTGTTGTTATGTGCCGTCGAGTCAGCCCTGACTCATAGCGACCCCTCCTTGGGTTTCCGAGGCAGTATCACTACGGAAGTAGGATTGCCCAACCTTCCTTCCGAGGAGTGGCTGGTGGGTTTGAACCGCCAGCCTTCTGGTTAGCAGTCAAGTGCCTTAGGCACTACACCACCAGACGAAGGAGTAATTCATTCTGCTTGGCATAGTCAGATAATTTCAAGGGAGAGGTCGTAATTGTGTCATTTTCTCAAGTGTGAGTGTTTATACAAAGCGACATTTCTCTACACTCACACTTGAGAAAATGACACAATTACGACCTCTCCCTTGAAATTATCTGACTATGCCAAGCAGAATGAATTACTCCTTCGTCTGGTGGTGTAGTGCCTAAGGCACTTGACTGCTAACCAGAAGGCTGGTGGTTCAAACCCACCAGCCATTCCTCAGAAGGAAGACTGGGCAATATACTTCTATAGAGATACTACTTCGGAAACCCAAGGAGGGGTCTGTATGAGTTAGAATTGACTCGAGGACAGTGACTTTGGTTTGGTTTTTGGTTCTATAAATAAATTATACATCTAGAATAGCATTTATCATGTTTGTGTTATTTGCACATAAAAGTCCCTGGGTAGAGCAAACCATTAAGTAATTGCCTGCTAACCGATATGTTGATGATTTGAACATACCCAGAAAGGCTGGTAATCTACATCTGAAAATCACAGCCATAGAGCTGTTTTACTCTGACAGACTTTGTGAATCATAGCAGTTTGTTTTTTGTTATTTATGTTTTTTTTTTTTTTAACTGTGATTTGGGTGAAAGTTCACAGACCAAATTTGTTTGAGTCACAGGTTTTTTAAGGGCACTTCATACACACAGAGAAGAAACTGCATTAGCACTGAACTCATGTATTCATCTGTTTCTGACTCTTAGTACTGTCTACACATAGCACACAATCAATTATTTATCGATTGGATACTCAAGTTTTCATTTCTGTTTCTTATATCCCCTCAGTGTCAGATTCCAGGTAATAATGATTTATAAAAGATGTGCTTTTTATCTCTGAGTGTGGGCACCTGCAATGTAACTGTATTTTCAGATACATTTTAATCAACATTACAGATAGTTTATAGCAAACACAATGTTTTCACTTTCTCATATCTTCATTTAACACTTACCCACTTAAAAAAAATGCCATGGAGTCGATCCTGACTCATGGTGGCCCCATGAGTTACAAAGTAGAACTGTGCTCCATAGGGTTTTCTTGGCTATAATTTCCATGAGAACAGATCACTCGCGCCTTTCTCCTGCAGTGGAGCCACTGGGTAGGTTTGAACCATCATCTTTGAGATCAGTAGAAGGAAAGCACACATATTTTGATTTCATGAAGAACACATGAAATCTGTGTTTTCTGAGGTGATATCACTACAGAAGTAGATTGCAGTTTTGCATCCTGTTTTCTGCACTTTATATTATACCATAACATTTGCCATAGAGTTACTTGGTCTTCATTGGACATTGTCTTCACAATCATTACTTTAAACCACAAGACTAGAGCGTTATTGTATGTGGTTGGTTTTTAATCATCTCAGCTGGAAGCTAATGCATAAGTAAGAGTGTTGCCAACATGTTTCCCAGGCATCAGAAGCACGGGAAATGATGACAAGAAAGGACACAGGACAATTCTTAGTCGGTCTCCAATTGTTTATAGAGTCAGATTCTACAATGACTTAGATGGTGTCTTGTCCATATGACCCAAAATAAAATTAAATCAACCCAAATCTCTATTTACATTCCCACCTTTCATGTGTCTATCTGGAATTTGTTAGAACAAATCACTTCTTCATTCAATCATGATCTAAAAGCAATCTTTTCTGAAATGATGAGTACACTTCTCCTTTTTTTTATTGTTAATATCCCTCTAAGGAAGTATCATCTAATAAAACTGACTACAGGAACAATTAAATGAAAAATTCAATACCTCTTCATTTTTATCTACAGTAGTCAAGTAATTTTTACACTTTTCCACTAATATATCCAGACAATTACATCAGTTCTTGGTTTATTTTGGCCATCACCTCATCATTGGACATTTCATCCCTCCAGAAATTTCAGGCATAAAAGTGCCTGTGAACTTGCCTGTTCTTTGAATTTACGGCTCACTGGATTTATTATTCCTGAGTGAGGAACCATTGCACTTAGTACTTGGCTGCTGTGAAGTCCTTCAGTGTCCTGAAATGCTATATAGAGTCCTTTGGCTTTGAGCTCTGGAAACATTCACAATGATTTAAAATAGTATCTTTAATGATGCTAGACATTTTT